GACTCACATTCTTCTCAAGTGCACATGGGACATTCTCAAAGACAGACCACATGTTAAGGCACAAACTAAGTCTTTACAAGTTCAAGAAGACTGAAATCATATCAAGCATCTTCTCAGATCACAATGGCATGAAACTAGAAATCAATTGCAACAACAACAGGCAGAGACATGTGAACACATGGAGGCTAAACAGCATGTTATTAAACAATGAGTGGGTTCCCGAGGAGATCAAGGAAGAAATTGAAAACTTCCTGGAAACCAATGAAAATGAACACACAACAACACAAAATCTATGGGATGTAGCGAAAGCAGTTCTGAGAGGGAAGTTCATAGCACTACAGGCCTATCTCAAGAAACAAGAGAAATTTCTAATAGAGTATGTAACCTCACAACTTAAAGAACTAGAAAGCAAACAAAAAGAAACCCTCAAGCAAGTAGAAGGAAGGAAATAGTAAGGATCAGAGCAGAAATAAATGACATAGAGACCAAAAAAACAATTCAAAGGATCAATGAAACAAAGAGCTGGTTTTTCGAAAACATAAACAAGATTGATGGACCCTTAGCTAGACTCACCAAGAAACAAAGAGAGAGAACCCAAATATACAAAATCAGAAGTGAAAGAGGAGAAGTAACAACTAACACCACAGAAATACAAAGGATCATTAACAAATACTGTGAACAATTATATGGCAACAAATACGACAATCTATGTGAAATGGACAAATTTCTAGAAACACATAGTCTCCCAAAACTGGACCAGGAAGAGATAGAAAACTTGAACAGACTTATAACAACTAAGGAAATTGAAGATGTAATGAAGACTCTCCCAGAAAACAAAAGCCCAGGCCCAGACGGCTTCACAGGGAAGTTTTACCGAACATTCAAAGAACTAACACCCATTCTCCTCAAACTATTTCAAAAAATTCAAGAAGAAGGAAGACTTCCAAATTCATTTTATGAGGCCAGCAGAATTCTAATTTCAAAACCAGAAAAAGACACTACAAAGAAAGAAAACTACAGGCCAATATCCCTGATGAACATAGATGCCAAAATCCTGAACAAAATACTATCAAATCAAATCCAGCAATACATCAAAAAAATGATTCACCATGACCAAGTGGGATTCATCCCAGGGATGCAAGGCTGGTACAATATTCGCAAATAAATAAATGTGATACACCACATAAACAAAATGAAAGATAAAAACCACATGATCATATCAATAGATGCTGAAAAAGCATTCGACAAAACCCAGCACCCAAAAAAAGAGAAATGTTGGTTCAATATCCACAAATCAATAAATGTGATACACCACATAAACAAAATGAAGGATAAAACCCATATGATATCAATGGGTGCAGAAAATGCATTTGACAAAATCCAGCACCCATTTATGATAAATACTCTCAGAAGAGTGGGAATAGAGGAAGCATACCTCAACATAAGAACAGCCATAATAACAATCTTTAGAACTAACACAAAAATTCAGTAAAATAGCAGGATACAAAATTAATAGTCAGAAATCTGGTGCATTTTTATACACCAATGACAAACTCTAAGAACTTAAGAAACAATCCCATTTGCAATTGCATAAAAAAAAAAAAAAAAAAACATAGATAAAATACCTAGGAATAAATTTTACCAAGGAGGAAAAGACCTGTATTTAGAAAACTATAAGACCTTGAAGAAAGAAACTGAAGAAGATATAACTAACTGGGAGGATATACTGTGCTCATAGATTGGATATTTTAACAACGTTAATTTTTCTTTACTACCCAAAGCAATATACAGATTTGATGAAATCCCTGTCAAAATTCTAATGGCATTTCTCACAGAAATAGAAAAAACAATCCTAAAATTTGTATAGAACCACAAAGACCCTGAATAGCCAATGCAATCTTGAGAAAGAAAGCAAACTAGTGGCATTATGCTTCCTGATTTTAAACTGTATTACAGAGCTACAGTAATCAAAACAGTATGGTATTATCATAAAAACATAGACACAAATCAATGAAACAGAACAGTGTGTCCAGAAATAAACCCATGCATATATATAAACCCATGCATATATATTAAATTAATATACAATAGAGCCAAGAATAATAAATGAGGAAAGAATATTCTTTTGAATAAATGGTGTTGGAAAAACTGGACAGCTATATGCAATCTTACTATTGTTCTTATACCGTATACAAATATTGATTCAAAATGAATTGAGAATTGAATGTAAGACCTGAAAACATCTAGCTCCTATAAAAAAAAAATAAGCTATAAGCTCCTTGACATTGGTCCTGGCAATGATGTTTTTGGATCTGACACCAAAAGCAAAGGCAACAAAAGCAAAACAAACAAGTGTAACTATGTTAAACTAAAAAGCTTCTGCACATCAAAGGAAACCATCAACAAAATGAAAATGCAATCTATTAATGAGAGAAAACATTTGCCAAATCATATATCTGATAAGGGATTAATATTCAAAATATATAAAGAACCCATACAACTCAATAGCAAAACAATAATGTAGTTAAAAAAAATAGGCAGGGGATCTGAATAAACATTTTCCCACAGAAGACACACATGTGGCCAACAGGTACATGTAAAGGTGCTCTGTATCAGGGAAATGCAAATCAAAGCCACAGTAAGATATCACTTCATACCTGATAGAATGGCTATTATCAAAAGGACAAGAAATAAGTGTTGGCGAGGATATGGAGAAAAGGGAACCTTTGTGCACTGTTGGTAGGAATGTAAATTAATGCAGCCACTATGGAAAACAGTATGGATGTTTTTCAGAAAATTAAAAATAGAACTACCATATGTTTTAGCAATTCCGCTTCTGGGTATTTATCCAGAAAAATCACAAACACTAACTTGAAAAAATATCTGCACTCCCAGGCTCATTGCAGCAGTATTTATAATAGTCAAGATATGGAAACAACCTGAGTGTCCACTGAGAGACGAATGAACATGTAATATGAAATGTGAAACGAAAATGTGAGATAGATATATATAATGCAATATTATTCGGCCATGAGAAAAAAAGAAAATCCTGTCATTTGTGACAACTGGACAAACCTGGAGGGCATTATGTTAAGTGAAATAAGTCAGACAGAAAAAGACAAATACTGTATGATCTAATTTATATGTGGAATCTAAAAAAAAAAAAAAACACCTCACAGATTCAGAGAACAAATTGTTGGTTGCCAGAGGTTAGCAGTGGTGTGTGGGCAAAATACGGGAAGGAAGTCAAAAGTTACAAACTTCCAGTTATAAAATAAATAAGTCCTGGGGATGTAATGTACAGCATGGTGACTACAGTTAATGATACTGTATTGTATATTTGAAAGTTGCTAAGAGTAAATCTTAAAACTTTTCATCCCAAGAAAAAATTTGTGTGGTGATGGGTGTTAACTAGGTTTACAGTGACCATTTAATAAAATGTACATATATCAAATCATGTTGTACATCTGAAATTAATATGTTAATGTCACTTATATCCCAATAAGCAATAAAAGCAACCTTTTCATAGCAAAAAACAAAAACTCTCCACAGAGTAAAAAGGCAACCCACAAAATGGAAAAAAATTTTGCAAATCATGTATCTGATAAGGGATTACTATCCAGAATATATAGAGAACTCCAAATCTCACAACAACAAAAACTCAATTCAAAAATGGGCAATGGAGTTGAATAGACATTTCTCTAAAGAAAATATACAAATAGCCAGTAAACAAATGAATTTCAGCATCACTAATCATTAGGGAAATGCAAATCGAAACTACAGTGATACCACCTCACCACTAGGATGGCTGCTATCAAAAATCAAACTAACAAAAACACCAGAAAATAAGTAGTGGCGAGAATGTGGAGAAATTGAAGTCTCGTGCACTGTTGGTAGAAATGTAAAATGCTGCAGCCACTATGGAAAACAGTATGGAGGTTCTTCAAAAAGCTAAAAATATAATTACCATATGACCAAGCAATTCCACTTCTGGGCATATGCTCAAAAGAATCAGCCCTGGCCGGTTTGGCTCAGCGGTTAGAGCGTCAGCCTGCAGTCCAGAGAGACCCGGGTTCGGTTCCCGCTAAGGGCACGCACCTCGGTTGCAGTTTGTCCCTGGCCCTGGTTGGGATGTGTGGGTGGCAGCCAGTCGATGTGTCCCTTTCACGTCGATGTTTCTCTCTCTCTCTCTTCCTCTCTCTCCCTCCTGCTCTGTCTGAATAAAATATGGAAAAATGTCCTCAGTGAGGATAAAAAAAAAAATTTAAAAAAAAAAGAATCAAACATAGAGTCCCGAAGAAACATTTGTACACCCATGTCCATAGCTATTATTCACAATAGCTAAAACATGGAAGCAACTCGAGTGCACACTGAGCAATGAATAGATTACCAAAATATGGTTTTATGAACAACAGAATATTATTCAGCCTTCAAAAGGAAAGAACTTCTACAATATGCTACAATATGGAGGAACCTTGAAGACATGTTCAAAGTGAAATAACCCAATCACACAAATACAGTATGAATCCACTTATATAAGGTATTTAGAAAAGAGACAAAATCAGTAACAAAATATAGCAGTGGTTGGAGGAAAGGGAGAATGCAAATAGGGGAAGTTAGCCCTGGCTGGTTTTGTTCAGTGGTTAGATCATCGGCCTGCAGACCAAGGAGTTGCGGGTTCGATTCCAGTCAAGGGTGCGTACCTGGGTTGCAATTCCGTCTCCGACCCTGGTCGGATTTCTGCAGGAGGCAACCAATCAATGTGTGTCTCTTTAGTCAGTTTCTCCCCCCACACACACTCTATCTGAAGATAAATGGAAAGGTATCCTGGGGTGAGGATTTATTTTAAAAAAAGAAGAAATATGGGAAACCTATTATTGTTTAATAGGTACAGAGTTTCAGATCTACAAAATGAGTTCTGGGGGTGAACAGGGCTGCACAACCCGGGAGTACAAGAGAGAGACGCAGGGACAGACGGGGAATTCAAAAGCAGCACCTACTCAGAAGCCATGAACAAGGCCTGAAGGATGCTGTTCACGTAGCATGTGTTGCCCAGGTTAATTAAACCAATCTTGCCCGTGTCTGACTTGGCCATGAGCCGAGGGTAGAAGCCAGCCAGCTCACTCTTCTGAGAGGTCCAGGCATTCTGCCCCAGCAGCTGCTTGATGCGGTCCTCATTGGGAACGTGGAGGTCCTGGGGAGGGAACAAGCCAGCAGGAGAGTGGGCACCAGGGTCCACTCTAAAAATATCACTGCCTCCGGGAAGCCTTCTTGGACTACACCCACCCAAGCACATCACCCCGCGAATGTTCTAGAGATGTGTATGAATAGCCTCCTGCTTCCAAACTTATTCTAAGTTCTCACCTTGACATAGGGGCTTTTTACTGATCTTTCATGTCACAGCTGCCTTAAAAGGTGGTAAAATCCTCATTTAATAGATGAAAAAACTAAGACTTGGATAAAGAATTTTTCGGCCCTGATTGGTCTGGCTCAGCAGTTAGAGTGTCAGCCTGCAGACAACCAATTGATGTGTCTCTCTCACATTGATATTTCTCTCCCCGCCCCCTTCCCTTCCTCTCTCCCTCCCACTCTATTGTCTATCTGAAAAAAAAAAATCAATGGAAAAATAGCCTCGGGTGAGGTTTAAAAAAATAATGATAATAATTTTCCAGTAACATACAGGTAGTAAGTGAAGAATCCCTGCATTCATAGAAGAGCCCAGGGTATGAAAGACTCTGAGCAATGATCTGGGCCCTTGGGCCCGATCCAGCGTTGTCAAAACCTCAGTCCTAGTCCTGACTCTTGGCTGTGAGCAGTGAGCCTCTCAGTTTCCTCACCTGTCAAGGGAGGATACTCCTACCTGGGGTCACTTTGGCACTCTACACTCTCACGGTGCTTGCACGCCGTGATGCTCCTGCCTCACCGTCTACTTTTAAGCCTGGAGAGTCGGCTTTTGTGAATTGGTCACCCCCCTGGACCTTGAGCCTACAGTCAGGACAGCGGAGGATCCCAGGGGTCTGAGGTATGGGTCCTTGGTCACGGGCTTGGGGATTAGCAAGCTTTCCCACCTACTATCCTTTTCCACATTAAACAATGGCACCTAAAGGAATATTACCAAGCACTGGTTCTAATGATGGTATGTTTTAAAGAAAAACACCTAAGCATAATGTAGAGTCACTTAGGAGGTGTGAGCAACTTTCGTAATAGTTCCTCTAGCCCTGCTCTTACTTCCAGACCCTGAGCACAGTCCCTAGGTATGTGCAGGGCTCCAGAGCTTCCAACCAGCTCAGCACTGAAAACATCCGATTAGCCCGTCACCTCTCAGATGACTTAAAATGCAGGAGCTGCCAGAGGTGAAAGGAGATGCGGGCTCAGTATGGTCTCTCTCAGGCGACTCCTCTGTCTTCCTCTTATCCCCTAGTCCACCCCCACTCCGCACAAACAAATAGGGACCAAAAAAGCAGGTTGTCAGAACCCCACACATGCACACAAGTGCACACAGAAAATGCAGAAATAGCCACACTAGAAAAAAACATCAAATGCCATTTATCCAAAGAAGGTAACTTTGTCCTCTTTGGAAAATAAAACAAGAACTTCAAAATAACTCTCAAGCTCCTACGGTTACTGGAAATTTACATACCACGGCTCCCTCAGCAAGGACCACAGCTCCCAGAAAAACTGCCATAACCTGACACAACTGTCTATGTAAGAGAACTTTCCAGAAATTATTTATAAAGGAGCCTAGATACACAGAAGGATGAACTCATAGAACACATGTGAAAGAATCTTATAAACAATAACACCTTGCAGGTTTTATTGGTACAAACTGGCTCGTACCAAGGGGTATTCAAAGGCACAGGCCAAAAGGAGCACACCCTTCTGGAGCCACATTCTCTAATATTCAAGAAAAAATGTGTTTATGTTCAAACAAATGTAATTATAAAATACATACTGGAATCCTTGAAGTAAAATGAGGTTTTAGGGAAATTCGGCTTGTGTCAGGCTGCCTGGGGTAAGCCCCCTCCTCTGACGTCAAGTACTTCAGCGGAAGCATTGGAAAAGCCCAGATCTGCTGGATTAAGCAGTCACTTGGCCTGGTTTCCCAGGCCCTTGGCTCTGCCGAACTTACTGATCTCCCCTCAGCTCCAAACACGTTACCGCCAAACTGGACTTGCACCTGCCCACCGCCACATCTCTCCCCCTGCCAGGCCCATCCTCAAGGTCTAACCTCTATCCTCTCTCTATAAGGGTTTCTAGGATGTTCTCAAAGGAGGTCCCCACACTATCTAGACCTGTCCTATAGCCTACCTCCCTGCACCTAGTGGTCCAGGTATTGGCAGACTCACAACGTTCCCCGGATCAGACCACAGCCCCTAGTGTGCACAGCCTGGGTCTCACTCAGTGCCCAGGACAGGGCCAGGCTGCCTCCTCTTGGTTCACACCTCCATGATGGCATTCTTCACACTACGGTCACATTCACTCACCCACATTAACTGGGCACAGAGATCAAAGTGACAGGTATCCCTGCCCACCCTCAGCTCGTAACCTAGCAGGAAACAGTAATAGTCACTTCCAATAAGTGGAAGTCCTGTCTCCTCTGCTCATCCAGCTCACAACAGGGAGCTCACAACCTAGCAAGGCAGCCCCTTCTTCTGTGGGTGAGCTCTACTAAACTTTCTCACGTTAAGTTGAAAAACCAGAGGTTTTGTTTGTTGCATCTACCAGCCCTCACTCACAGTGGATTGTTTCCTTGGATGTTTTGTAATTTTTGGATTATAAACTCATCTTCAGTAGAATCTTTGTAGCCTGAAAGCAGTTTCTTTTGTTTCAACCAGGCAACCCCAGGTATTACAAGTTTACAACTACTCTTAATGTTCATGTCTGAGCTTAGGGGGTCCCACAACCCTAAGATGGTGTGAATTTGAATCCTTAGACATGAAAGCAGGCCACTAATTGCAAATTTCTTTTTTTTCCAATGCAGAGTCCAGACCAAGACAGAAGTTTCCTTGACGTCTATTTTTTTTCCCTAGATCGAATGTTGCTAACGGTTAAGCCTTTCTTGAGGCTTGACTAATGTATGCCTCTTAGCACTAACTCCCTACTAGGGGCAGGCCCTAAGCCTCACCTCCTGTCCCCATCAGCTCATGCCCTTCAGTAACTGAGGTTGGCCATCTTACCCACCCTCCCTTCCCACCCCAGGGCAAAAAAACATCTGTCATCTCTCACTTACAACTCTGGAACTCAGTTTTCTCTTCCTTTTTGGACCATATGGATTCCCTTACTTTCTTACAAGTTCAGCTATGAACTTAAAAAGACATTTGTTGTATTGTTGCCCTGGCCAGTTTGTCTCAGCAGTTAGAGTGTTGGCCTGCAGACCAATGAGTCACGGGTTCAATTCCAGTCAAGGGCATGTACCTCAGTTGCGGTCTGTCCCCGGCCCTGGTTGTGCAGAAGACAACCAATCAGTGTGTCCCTCTCACACTGATGTTTCTCCCTCACCCCCCTTCCCATTCTGTCTGAAGATATTTGAAAAAATATCCTCAGGTGAGGATTAAAAAAAAACAACAAAAAACATTTGTTTCATTGTAACAAGCATTTCCAGGTATTCTGCAGTGGGACACTTTTCAGGTTATCTACCTGCCGTGCTGCAGAAATGGAAGTCAGACGAAAGTTTTGAAAGGGCTGCCACCTACCTAGACACGTTTCACCTTCGCTCGGACCTGCCCTCTGTATGAAGCAACCCAGTCCTGACTGTCTCTCACTATCTCTGTGACTGCACAAATCATCAAACCTCATTTCCTCTCTGTGAAACAAATCACGATAGTATCTGCTTGACAGGCTTCTTGTGAGCATCAGAAGGGAAAAGACCATCAAATGTGGCACTAGCTACAGATGTTAGCTGTTGTCCTAGCAACCCAGCCAGCCCGGTTCACAAGCCCTTTCGTCCTCTAACTGGAGTCTTTCGCTCCTCGGGCTTCTCACTGCTCCTGGTTGACCCTCAGAGGTGTTTCATAAGCTGCTTAGATCAGAGCTACTTTTATAGACGTCTGTCCCTCACCCCGCCCCCAAGCTGGAAGCTCCTCAATGGAGGTGATTCATGGCTATGTCCCCAGCTCCCATTCTGCATCTGGCAGAGTAGGGTAGCAGCAGTCATGTGAATAACTGTAAACAAAACCTGCTCTGGAGTGCTCATGATCTGGTGGTGGAGACAGACACCCAGACAGTGACAATGTGTGAACAGAGTGGTGCCCTGGGGTTGTGAGAGCCCAGAGAGACCCTGACCCAGCCTGGTGGGGGCCAACCTCAGGAAGGTGTTGAGAGTTATCAGGGAAGACTTCCAGAGGGAGGTTAACACGTAAGCAGAGCCCTTAAAGAGCATGTAGGAGCTATTCAGGAAGAACAAGGAAGGGCTGACAGTTAGAGACAGCATACGAATAGGCTCAGATCAGTCAGGAGAGAGGACGCCCATCTGGGGAACGTCAGGTGGCTCAGTGTGCCTGCAGCACGGGATGGGCCAGGGAAGGCGATGGGAGCTAGCCGGGGACCAAATGGTGGGGGACTGTCACTCACCTTGATGGCCTCCATGACAGGCTCATACAGATCCGGGAAGCCGGGGAACCGGAACACCATGCAGTGGACCAGCTCTGCCAGCTGCTCCAGGCAGCTGGACCCCGAGTTGGAGTCCTCCTTGAGCAGAGAGGCCACCATGGGAGGGATGTGAGGGAGGAGCTGTGAAGCAGAGTGGGGTCAGGCTCAGCACCAGTCACCCACTGAGACAGGGGATGCCTGTCGCTGCTGAACACTGCCTCGATCTCTTCCACCACAAAATGGGATCAATAATCCCCTCCTCACAGTTCAGCAGAAGCCTGAGCCCTAGCTCTAACTGCTAAGCCTCAGCCAAATGGCCTGCCCGACAGCCTGAGTGACTAGGGCTTCTCTGCCCCCCAAGAGTGATGCTGGGGCCACCACGTGGGCAGCTGGTGGACAGCCCTGACAGGGCCTGAGCGGCTGCCTCTGGGGACAAACACCATAATTCTTTCACCAAACATACATGTCAAGTGCCTCATCCTCATAATTTTATCAGGCAATTATTATTGTCCCCACTGTCCAGATAAAACAAAAATGGAATTTGGAGAGGTTATATAATTTGCCAAGGATTTCACCGTGGGTTCCAGAGGAGCTGGTGTCTGAATCAGGCCTGTCTAAACCCAAAGCTAATTTCTTTCCTCTGGGTTATGGAGTGTTAACTTTCAAACCCATGAAGATGCTATGCCAGCATGTCCCAGGGATGGACAGAGCCAGACCACAGGAACAGGGAGCAGAGGAGCCCAGGAAAAGGATGGAAAGAAACCAACACCTGTCAAGTCCCCAGTATGCAGCAGGCTCTTGACAACTATCACCTCATCAAACCCTTTCCCACCATCCTAGGGGTCTACCTCTATGTGAGACCCCTGGCCCAAGGTCACCACATCTGGCAAAGAGCAGATCTGGGACTCAACCCCAAGCACCCCAAACCTGGTTCTGTGCTTCTCCAATTGCAGCAAATAGGGAAGCAGGATGTTTCTGCCTTGACCGGGGGCCATCAGAACCTATGGCCCCATCCACAGAAGGCAGGCAGGGAAAGGCAGCCTCAGGGCCACAGGCTGTCCTTCCTAAGAGGGTCTGGAAGCCAGCAGAAAGAGCCCCGAGCTGGGGGTCAGGCCACCTTGCTGGCAGGCAGCAGGGTACACAAAGGGCACTGGGTCAGGAGTCAGACCGACTTGGCCAGAATCCTCCCTGTACTGCTCACTGGCTGTGTGTCTGGAAAGGGACTTACCCTCCTACACTTCAACTTCCTCAGCTGAGAAGTGGAGAAAATGACAGACCCTCTTTCTCAGGACTGTTCTGGGAGTTCAGTGAGCGCACATAGGTACTGCCTTCAGCACTGTGACCGGCACACAGCTGTTATCCAGGGAACGTGGGTGTTATCATTCTAGGCTTGTCACTCTACTAGGGGCCCATGGGGAGACCACACAAATTCTCTGGCCTCAGTTTCTTATCCGTAAATTGGGGTCTCAAGTATCCTCTAGTCCTAACATCCAGGGTTTCAAAGGCTTGGGCTTCAAGCCCTGACCCCTTAACCCCAACAGAGACAGCTTGTCTGGCTTCCAGCTGGACCAGCGGGGGACACAGCAGCGATGGGCCCTTACCAGGTGGAAGGCCTCATGGGAGTGCTGGAAGGTCAGGAGCATGTACTTGAGGACAGATAAGGCGGCTCCCCGGACAATGGGGTACAGAAGCTTGGAGAAAACCTGGAAGAGAGTCCCTCGTCAGGAACCCCCCAGGCCTGGGACACCCAAGACTGAGTGCAGCCACAGGCCTGAGGGGCATTAGAGACCCCGGAGCTGAAGCAGCAGACCCATGCCAGAGCAAGAACACGGAGGTGCTCACAGACCTGGGTGGACAGACAGACAGTTAAATGGACAGCAAGACCATTAGATATCTGATGGATGGATAGACAGACATACCTAAAGAACATATACATGCTTGAATGAGCATTCAGAGGAAAGAATGGGGGAACTTGAGGCTCAGAGAGGGCAGTGAATTGTCCCAGGTCACAGAGTTTGGGTGGGAGCCCCGGTGTTCTGCCTCTTAGACCTGCAATGCCCCTGCCAAGACACTAGCAGGAAAGGACATAAGCAGGGGCCAGGACAGGGGCCCACCAACCTTCTCAATTTTGGCGAGTGAAACCTCAATCAAGATGCTGAACTTCTTAACAGCGGCCAGGCCCTTCAGCAGTGCAATGATCCACTTGTCAATGTTCTTCCCCAGGGGCCAGGACACCCAGTCGATCATCCTGGTGAGGGGAATAACAGTGACACAGGGACCAGGGAGGCCCAAATGCCTGGGTGGTGCAGCCCAGGAACTAGCCATAATGTCCTGAGGTCCCACAATGACTCACCCTAACAGGGCAGCCCTGGGGTATGTGGGATGAATAAGCAAATGAGCCCAGCACAGGCGACGGGCAGAGACTGGGGCTCCCAGCCCAGCAGGAGGGGAGCCTGGCCCTCTCAGAACCCCAAACCTCAGCCCCATACATGATGAGCTGCCTCTGCCTGAACACTGGGGCTCAATGGCAGGAGGAACGCTGGCTCCTGGGGCCAGAAGCTCTGGCTCCAGCAAATCATGGCTCGTGAACTGGAGCAAGTCACTTACTCTCTCGGCCTCCGTTTCCTCCTCTGTCAAATGGAGACAATGCCTACCAACAACAGGGCTGTCTGGATGAAGAGAGATACTAGCAAACACTTACGTAGTATTCACTCTGTACCAGGCACTGCTCTATCTGCCTTAATGTATCAACCCACTGGCTCCCACAACATAATATCTGTGTGTACTGAGCTGAAACGGCCACCTAGTAGGTGCCCAGGAAAATGTCACTACAGTATTACTATTGTCATACTCAGTAGACTATACTATAGAGAGGTAGAACAATGTGAAAATAAAGTAACAGTAACTACAATATGTTTCTAGGCATGTTTCATGTATTATCTGATTTTATCTAATTTAATCCTCAAATCAACCCTATAAAATGGGTTGGCTTATACTATATTTTATAGATGAGGACACTCGAACATAGAGAAGTTGAGTAACTTGCCCCAAGTCACACAGGCAAGAAGTGGTAGAGCCAGGATTTGAACTTGGGCAGCTTACCTCTAGCACTCACATTCCTACCCACTAAAGACAAAGAATCCAGAAAGGCCCCATGGATACAGTGAACTGTACACTAGTATGGAAAGAACAGCAAGAATACCAGGTGAGGCATACCAGGTGAATGGGGTTTGCAGAGCCAAAGGCCTGCAGACAGGAGAGTAGGCGGTATTTTCTGGGATCACTGGATGAGCAGGTGTGGCTAGATCATAGGTATGAAGACATTCAAATGAGGTGAGGAATGTGCAAGAGGTCAGTGAGCTGAAAAGCACCCAAACTCCATTTATCATGCTTGCCAAACTCCTAAAATACTTTGTAAAAGCATTTTGACTTTCTAATATGATCCCATGAAAGTCTGACAATTTCTTATACCACCACCCACATCTGCTATTACAGAAGGGGAACCTGAGGCTTAGAGAGTTCACTGACCTGTCCAAGGCCTCACAGCTAGTATCCAGCCTGGGAACATCAATAGGGCAGGGCCCTCTGTGTCTCCCACAACCAGGCCTGGGCCAGACACAAAGCAGAGCTCAAGAAAAGATGGATGAATAAACAAACATGAGGACATGGGCCCTTAAACACTAAATCTAGCCCAGCAACCATACCCAGAGGAAGGGGCTTCTGGGAGGGAGAGAGACCTGCCCAACACTGGGCCCTCAGCCCACCTGCTAATGGCAGTCAGCATCTGAGAGTCCATCACACTGTCATCATTGCTGAGGTTCCGGACAACACCATCCATGAGCTCCAGTGGGAGGTGCTGGACCATGCTGGCCAGGGCACTAGACGGTGGCTCCTCTTCTGGAACAGGGGACTGGGCTGAGCTTAGCAAGGTAGATGTGCCCCTCACCTCCCCCATCACCACTTGCTTTCATGCTGCCAAGGGACTAGGCTGGGCCTCTGCAAAGAGCACATCCAGGCCACCTCACCTCCGCAGTATCACAGCCTCTGATTCAATCTTAACTCATTCACTCATCAAACCTTCACTCCTTCACTGGCACTGATTTGGACCCAGCCCTGTGCTAGGCACCAAAAAAAAAAAGCACTGACCCCATTTCTGGGTGTACAGGCAAGGCCTTTAAGAAGGGGTAACACTGGAGTTGGCAAAAGCAGGTAGAAGGCCTATATGGACTTGGGGAGAGGAAGGACATTCCATCTGGAACCACATAGACAAAAGCCTAGAGGTGAGAAAGAACATTTAGTTATCAAAATTTGTTGTCCAATTGTATAAGGACCCAGGTTCTTACACACCCAGCCTTGGTTCTTCCTGGTGCCAGGTCCATTACCTTCCTTTCCCCTAAACAGCCCTATAATCAGGGAAGGCACAGCTCTTATTTCAGTCATTTACACTATAAGCCCAGTTCCAATTCTCAATGGAGGGCCAATATTTTACATTTCAGAGCTGACACCTACAGGCTCCATTGTGTTCCCTCTGCCTGCCCAGAGCACCTTGCCCCTGCTGCCTGGTGCTGCCCACCTCTCCAAAATCTGGCTCAAAAGTCATCACTTCTAGCGCTGGATGGTTTTGCTCAGCAGTTAGAGCAGTGACCCGTGGTTGCAGGTTTGATCTTGGCTGGGGCAGGGTAGTGCAGGTCGGGGTCGTGTGGGTGGCAACCAATCGATGTGTCTCTCTCATATTGATGTTTCTCGCTCTTTCTCTCCCTCCCTCCCTCCCTTCCACTCTCACTAAAAATCAATGGAAAAATATTCTCAGGTGAGGAGTAACAAAACAAAGTCACCACTTCTAGGAAACCCACCTGACCCAAAGGGCATGATGTCCTCCTTCCTGGTATCTTGCTCAGCCCCTAGGTCCTCCTCCTGGTCAGATTAATCTGGGTTCGTCCTTTTCCCACACCAGGCAGTCTGTTCCTCCCTGTGCACCAGCACCCACCACAGCATAGGACCCACAACAGGTGCTAGGCATAGGCTTGCTAATTAAATATTAGAACATCGCTCTCCCACCTGTGCATTCGCCCGTGGCACACACATACCACACCACACAGGGGCACCTCAAGCAGAAGACTCACGAACAGCCACCTGCCCTGGCCCACACCCAGTACCTTGGCACACACACTCCCTCCTGCCCCAACCCCAGCCTAAGCGCACACGCACCTGTGCCAGAGATGACGGCGAACAGCTCCTTGAGGCAGGGCAGGATGGCGGCGGGCTGCGCGCGCCACAGCTGCGCCAGGAGCCCGCTCACCTGCTGAGCCTGTTCCAGGAACTCCACGGCGCCCTCCTCGCCCTCGGCCGGGCAGCGGAAGCGGCCCAGGCAGCGCACCAGCTGCTGGCAGAAGAGCAGGCGGTGCGGGCCGTCGGGCACGCAGCGCGGGTGCCGCGCCAGCAGCCGGGCAACCTGCGCGCAAGCCGCGGGGCCCGGGCGCTCGCACACAGTGCGCAACACCTCGCGCCTCAGCAGCGCGAACACCTCCTCGGCCGCGGGCCCCTCGGGCAACAGCTGCAAGCCGAGCTGCACGCAGGCGAGCGCACGGGGGCCAGGTGGGCCGGCGCCACCCTGCAGCAGGCGCAGCACGCGGCTCGCGCTGAAGAACTCAGCGAAGACATCGGGGTGGTGGCGGCCGACTACGTGCAGCAACTGGCAGCCCACGCGGCGCGGCAGCTCGTCGGCGCCACCCACGTAGAAGCGTGCGCCCAGCGCCAACAGCGCTAGGCACTGCTCCCGCTCCAGGGGCTGCCGTGCCGCTTCCAACACGCGCCGCACCAGCCCTTGTTTCACGCTTTCGGGGTACGACGACATCACCACCGCCTCAAGGATCTTGTCCATCGCGGCTGCGCTGCGGGGGACAGGGAGCAAGTTACACTCTACCAGACAGGTCTAATTCCCCATGGGGCTGAGCCATGGGGCGAGCAACTCAACCTCTCTGGACCCCCATTTCCTCATCAGTAAGGTGGGGCAAGGATACCTACATTACTGGAAGATGTCTAGATGAAGTAAAGCACAAGGCCTGGCAATATAAGCCCCAGTGAGTTGTAGTTACTACTGGTGAGCGTCTTTTATCTCACAAAGGTAACACCTGAGCCTGAGCCCTCCTCCCACCCCTTTGCCCTTCTCTCCCCCAGACCTTCCTCGTGACCTCATCCACTATTAGGACAAATAGGAGTTGGATCTAGAAACTGCTGTCCAGAGTCTTGGCCAGTCATGTCCTGTGGGAGAGATGAGAAGGGGGGCACTCGCGCGCGCGCACACACACACCTCCAAGGAGGGCGTGCCAATAGGGCTTCCTGAGATCCCTTGTGCACTTTACTCAGTCCCCGATCAACTTCTTGCTTTCTCAAATGATCTATACACCTTTAAAAGATTTCACCTTGCTGTGCCTTTTGCCTGAAACACCCTATTTCCCAACACCTCCACTACTACCACACACTCGCACAACCAAGCAAACTCCTATTTTCCTTCAAAGTCCACCTCAAACATCCACCCCAATGAGAATAGCTCTGGACCTCTAGGATGAATTCATCGCTCACCCTTCGGTCCACCTGGGCCCCATCCTCCATTATAACTGGGATCGCATAGTGCTGGGGTTGTATGGGTCCAGATCCCCTCCATTGAAGCAGCGTCTGGTCTCGTGCTCCAGGACTGCACACTCAGGGTCCTGCCTGCCTCCCCAACCTCAGTCCACACTAGCCCCTCTCTTGGGTCACTATGCTCTTCCCTCCCCTCCTTGCTTGGCTCACCCTGCAGACCTCAGCTTAAACTCACTTCCTTGAGGAAGCCTTGACTGACCTTCCTGCCTGGGTCAAAGGCCACTGTTAAGTTCAGAGCCCCTCATCCTCCTTTATAGCACTTATATTGATTACTTAATGGGAGTCAGCCTCATCCACTATACTATGTGCTATAACGAAGGAGGCTGTTTCACTTTATTGTGCTTCATGGATGTTGTGGGGGTTTTTCTGGGTTTTTTTTACAAGTTTAAGGAGGCTGTTTCGCTTTATTGCACTTCACAGGTGTGTTTTTTACAAATGGAAGGCAAGACCCTCCACTGGCAAGAAGATTATGACTCGCTTTAGTGCAGTGGTCTGAAAACAAAGTCACAATACCCCCGAGGTATACCTGTAGATTCCTGAGGGCAGGAACCATGTCAGGTTTTGTTCACTGTGGTATCTCTAGCTCCTAGCCCAGTGCCTGGCACACTGAAGGCATTTGTTGAATGAGCAAATATGGAATGTAGCGTGAGTTACTGCTACCTTATTCCTGAGCCATAATAACCTTCCCCCTGCCCTTCCCCTCCATGTGGATGTTTCATGGAAACCTTCATCCCTCTGACTCATTTTGACTCCTGATTCTCATGCTGGTTCACATAGGTACAGTTTGCTCTTGTAATATCCAGCTTTCATCTCCAAGAAGACAGGGCCATTTCTTTGCTTCTTTGTATAATCCCACTCTACACTAGACCTCAGATAAGGCTCAGCACACCGTAGGTGTTTCACTAAATTTATGGGCTCAGTAAAAACTATTCTATTTTTGAGACCTGAAGTTCGTATGAAGACAAGGCAGAAATTTTCTAGAGGAGGGTCCAGAAACTTTTATCCAGAACCACAGATATCGTGGGAGCCTGACTGTGTGCCAGGCCCAGTGGAGACACTCTCTTCTCTGTCCTAGCCCTTGGCTAAGACTAAACCTCCATTACTGCCTATTACAATGCAATAAGCCCATTTATTTATATCTCTGTCTCTCTCAACAGGGTGTGAACTCCACAGGGAAGTAATTGGGATTATTTCTCAGTGGCTGGCTTCTCCCCTGCCAGTCACTGAAGCCTGAGTGTCTCTGAAGAGATTACTATGGGTGTAGCCAGGGTACAGATCAGTGGTTCCCCAGCACTGGCCTGGCTGCCTCAGATTCATCTGGGATGCATACTGCTTACCGTTCAGGTTACTTATGCTCTCTGAGCCTGTTTACACCCTGCAGGGTTGTTGTGAAAACAAATATAAAGTCCTTACCATGCTGCTGGGCACAAGGAAGTGCTCAGAAAATGTCAGTCTCCTTCACTTCAGAAGCAAAGTTATTGCCCTTAGGAGCTTCCAGTCTGATGGTAGAGACAGAGGTGTTGGCAAAGAGTGCCAAGGCAAGCATAATCTCAAAAGGCATTTGAAGGCATCTTTCAGAACTGGTCTCCCTTCAGCTCTGGTCTTCTCTTTCCTAGGCAGTGGCTGTGACCATCCTCCTTTAAAGACCATCCGCAAACACCCCTACCCCTGCCCTCCAGGCTAGTGAATTTAGTATATAATATGCTTTCAACACAGGATGCCAAGGAATTCGGGTACAGACATACTTGTTTTATTGCACTTTGCTTTACTGCACTTCACAGATGTTCTGTATTTTACAAATTGAAGGTAAGACCCTCTACCAGCAAAAATACTACAACTCGCTTTATCGCGATCTGGCGTTATTGCAGTGGTCTAGAATGGAACCCACAATATCTCTGAGGTATGTCTGTACTCAGGCAGCCAAGGAGAAACCCTAATCGATCTGGTACTGACATCGTGTGGAGGAAGAGGAAATGGGGCAGGCAGAAATGGAGTTCTGGGGCTAGGGAAAGTTCTGAAAGTAAAAAGTTCTGCATTTCAGTGTGACCTTGAGCAAATCTTTTTTTATTTATTTATTTTTTTATCCTCACCCGAGGACATTTTTCGATATTTTTGTTCAGATAGAGTGGGAGGGAGGGGGAGAGAGAGAGAGAAACATCGATGTGAAAGGGACACATTGAGTGGTCGCCACCCACACGACCCAACCAGGGCCGGGGACAAACTGCAACCGAGGTACGTGCCCTTAGCGGGAACCGAACCCGGGTCTCTCCAGACCGCAGGCCAACGCTCTAACCGCTGAGCCAAACCGGCCAAGGCAACCTTGAGCAAATCTTATTCTAGTCCTGCAACTCATTGTGTGACCTTGAGCAAACCTCATTGTGAGCCTTTTTTCTCTTCTGTAAAATGGGGATAAATGGTATCAGGTTGAACCATATGGAAATGAAGGATCAGATGTTAGCAATTTCATATCGTTCTACCTGATACCTACCACATAAGGTGGTTTGTGCCTGGCAGCTAGGAGTTCAGTCAGTGGAGCCATTCCATGAGGGCTCTGATCTCCAAGGCCGTCCTGCAGCCTCTGTATAGTCCATGGCCTGGCTACTCCAGGCAAGCCCTGCCTACTTGCCCCCACTCCCACACAGGCAGTCTGAAGTCAGCTGTCACTATGGTCACCAACAAATGCACTCACTAATGTCTTCAATGCATTTCATGCAAAAAGATTTTAGAGGCTTGAACCTCACCTGACCTTATCACATGCCACAGACAGGAGGCAGGAAGGCCTGCTATCCCTGTGGCATGAATGGGGAAGCCGAGGATCGCCAAGGGAGAGGAACACAGCCTCAGCAGGGTGAGATTAGAACCTGCACTCAGCTTCCTGGGGGAGGAAGAAGCAGACAGCCAGCATTCCTCAGGGGAGGTTGGATTACTCCTCTAGGCGCTGGACCAAGAGATGGCCTGTGGACTCTGGCTCTGACCCAAGAGACAGCTGCCCTGAGCCAAACACAGCAGCAAACAGCAGCCGTGACCTCCCTCAGAAGAGCCTGCATTAGAAGCACGAGATCCAAGTTCTCTGCTTCAGAATCACCAGGTAACCTTGGGTGAGTCCCTGCCAGGCCCCTCAGCCTTCTCACCTGGAAAATGGGGACCATTTCACCTACCACTGCTGAGGCTGGGACAAGGCATAAATAAGATGAAGGCTGGGGAAGTCCCAAGTCTACTCCTGGGTCATCTGGCACTGAGGAGTGAAACAGACACGGTCAGAGAAGGAGACAAGGAGACACACTTCTGATCTCGCTGATTCTACAAGGAATTTCATCCATTAGCCCTCACTGCCAATGTTTGTTTCTAGTCTCTCCCTGAGCCCCAGCCCAACCCAAGACTAGCTCCTCTCTCCTCTTTACTTTTTGCTTGGACTAGTGAAGTATTCTCCCAGCCAGTCTCCTCATTCCTCCCTCAATCAGTGCTGCAACAGAAGCATGTACTGCAGGAGGAGTCCAGGCTTCGGATCTAGCCCAGCCACTACCCTCCTCGGTGGCTACTGTGGTTGGTGCTCTTTCACCTTTCTGAATCCCCAAAATGGGAGATGACCAGTTGCCTACCCCTTAGCCTTTCCTAGGCAAGGCTGCTCCTCCCCAAGCCTTTGGCTTATACCTCTCACTGCTGGCATGACAGCCTGAGAGTCCCAGCAATATCCAACCCTCTCCAGGGCACACAATAAGCACATAGGAAAATCACAATCCCTCCCCTGAAAGGCCCAGATCCCTTTATTTGTCCCTCTCGGATGATCCTTTCTGCATTTCTGCTGAGTACTGACTGGTCTCTTCCTGCATGGTGAAGCCTGACTCATCTCTATCACCCTCAAAGGACTGTGTGTGTGTGTGTGTGTGTGTGTGTGTACAGTATGCTGTCCCCACCCCCATGCCCTGGGCCCAACTCAGTCTTCCTCATCCCTCCCTGATCTCTTCGATCAACCCTGCAGACATCATCAGATTAATCTCATTAGATGGTAAACTCCATCCTGCCATGCCCCTGCTCAGAGCTCTCAAGGTTCCCAGTGCCTTCAAAATAAGGTCCAAACTCCTGAGCCCGAGCTTCAAGCCCTTTCTGTGACATTCAGCTGGTGTGTGGCAGGGAGGAGATAAAATTAACAAAGGCTATTTGGTGGTGAATCTACAGGAATTTGCGCAGTGAGCTCTCCCTGCTGGCCACCTTTGGTGATGCCCTCTCTGCTTAAAAAGGGCTTCTCTCCTGGCAAATTCCAACTCATCCTTCAGTGCCCAGGTCACATGCCCTCTCCTCTGGAAGGCCTTTCCTAGTCCCCCTGAAGCACAAGTCTCTGAGCTCTGGTTCCCAAGGCCCTCTCCACTTCTCTCAACCCTCAGCAGTATCACTGGATTCTATGTGTCTCTCTCTCCCACTAGGCTGGACTCTCCTTTAGTAGGAAGTAGATTCAATCCCCCTTTTCTGTACCCAGTGCCCAGCACAGGGCCAAGCACAGAAGTAAAAGAGTGCCAAGTGACCAACAAGAGACTTGTGACAGCAAAATGAGATAAAACTGAAGTATGACCATAAAAGAACCTTCTAGGGACTGGCCTAACCCTTGGTCCAGTCACTGCCCCCACATCTGTTCAGGTCTGTTCTCAAATATCCATAACTCTGAGAATCTTAAATACCAGCCACAGATGCCCCTACAGAGGTCACTGGATGGAAGACTCAAACCATTCTAGAAATGACTCAAACAACCAAAGCTGAAGAAAAACAAAAACAAAAACTATTCCTGGTTAACCTTCAGGTGAAAAGCTCACAGATGCTCATGAGACAGGGGAGGGGGCTTCAAGGTCTCACCCTGTTCCTACACCAGAGCACAGCAGCCCCTCCAAGCTCCAGCTCAGCACCTAAGTGTTGAACAGCTCATTTCCTCTCTCTGACCCTCATACCCAGTTTCCCTCCTTTGACTCTCTGGGGGGCACCAGGTGTTTCCCCCCCAAAACCAAAAGTCCCTCCAACCCTGCCTGCCCCCTTCCTCTCTGGGCAGCAGCATTTCTCTCTGTATTTTTAAACAACTTCTACCCAAGGCAGCCATGGGAAGAAGACCCTCACCAAAATATCTCCTGGGGAAAAAAGGTGAAAAGAGGTTTTACTGGTAAAAAATCAAATGCTCTTTTACTGAAGGGGCATGCGGTGGGTGGGGTGGGAGAGCATATATTCCCTTTTCAAGAACCCACCACACTCACCCATCCCCTCTGGGGGCCAGCCCTCACATAACTCTGATGGCCGTGTCCCCACCCTTAGGTTTTTTGGAAGGGCACTAACCAGGCTGACATATCAGGGTGTCCTGTTCACTGGGCTGTCATAGAAGGGGTACGCCCAGGCGGGATGCTGAGAATAGCAGAAACCCATTCCAAGCGGAGGGGGACTCTTGGCCCCTCAGTTTGTGCCCCCTCTCGACCCCACCCCTCCCTCCAATTATACCATGCACCTGCTCCCAGACCAGGCTAGGGCTGCGAACCCCACGAAAGGCCGTTGAGCTTCAAGGTACTGGGTGCTAGTGCCCTCAGCCCCGAGAGGGTGGGGGAGGCATCACCTCCATATACAATTGATGAAGGAGGTTGAGGCCCAGAGAGGGGCAGGTATTACCCAAGGTCACACAGCAAGGCCCAGGATGCACCCAGACCTCCCGCCTCCCAACCTTGGCCCCTCAGAGCCCTACGCTCGTGTCCGAGGCTCTCGCACCGCCAGGGCGCTGACACTCCCTCTTCACAACTCCCACACACGGCCCCAGCCCCCTTACCTCTGGGACCCCAGTGGACCCTGCCTCAGACCCGGCTCCGGGGCGGGGCGTTCAGGCGAGGCAGGACTAGGCTGGACCAGGCTAGGTCAGGGCGGGTCCTCTGCTCACCCCGGAGTGAGGACGCCCTCCGCCAGGTCCCAGATGGCTGGGATGCTGCTTCCACCTCCCACCCTTCTCTGCACAAGCCAGTATCTAGGAAGCCCGACTCAGAGGCGCAGCCGCGGGGCTGCGAGGCTGCGGGGCTGCTGGGCTGCAAGACGATGCGGGGGGGAAGGGCGAGGTGCGGATAACGGGGCGGAGCCCGAGCGGGAGCCACCCCGCGAACATCCACTCAGGCCGCGTCCCCTTTAAGGCCAGGGGGGCGGGGCGGGGAGCTGGGCGGTTCGCCGCAATGGCTCCTGGGAGATGAGGTTCGCTCTCCGCGCACCCAACCACAAAGAGCCCAGAGAGAACTACAAGTCCGGGAGCGCCGCGCGCCGTCCCAGGCTGCCACGCCCCTGGGCTGGGCTCCAGGTCTCCGCCCCTCTCGCAAAGCTGCGCTGGCCGCCCGCGGAGGGGAGGCTGCAGAGCGAGGGCAGGAGGTGGGTGCGGCGCGGCCGGGGGCGCGGGGCTCAGGGAAAACCGGTGAGGGGGCGCGGGTCCACCCAGGCACCTGTCCTACCGTCAGAAACCATCTCGCCTACCATAGCCTCGCCATTCTCATCTGTGCGATGGGGATGGTAACTCCTGTGGCTGCAGGGGAGGGGGCGCCTATGGAGGCGACGGGGCGGAGCTGGTAGAAGGAGCCTGGATGGGTGGCGACGGTAGGAAAAGCCGGGATGAGGGTCGAGACTGTTGGGAGGAGTCTTTGGTGGGTGGAACAAGAAGGGGCGGAGTCTCTAGGTGAGAAGGGGAACACGCGTGAGGTTGGAAGGGAGAATCCAGGGCTGGAGAGTGCGTGCCGAGAATGCCGATGAAGCAAGCCTGGGTTGGTTTGGGTGGAATGCGCTGAAAGGCACTGGGGAAGAAGGTGCTGAGACAAGGATGAAAAGGATGCCTCCCAGCCCTGGAAAGCCCAGTGCCAGCTATAGTTTGGGCAAGGGGGTGCCCGAATGGGCAAATACCTGTGGATGCACAGACGCCTTCATTTTCTTGTGACTAGAAATAAAGAGCCTAGCACTTGAACTCGGTGAGTCACACATGATCTTATTCAACTCTCACACCCTGTAAAGGAGTCATCATTTCTGTTTACAGGTGAGGAACTTGAGGCTCAGGGAAATGAAGTGACTTGCCCAAAACCACCCAGGACTTATTACCCAAAGATCCTGCCCCCCCCCCCCCTTTATTGACCCTGGAGAGAGAGGAAGTGAGAAGGAGAGAGAGAGAAACATGAATGAGAGAGAACATCGACCAGCCGCCTCCTGCATACCCCCCACTGGGGATCCAGCCCACAACCTGGGCATGTGTCCTGGCCAGGAATGGAACCCGCGACCTCTTGGTGCATGGGTTGACACTCAACCACTGAGCCACACTGGCAGGACAAGACCCTGCTTTTTCCCCTTCACTCTAGGGAGGCAGCGGTTTAGTCTGAAGTGGGGTAGGGAAGAAAAAAAAGTTTTGATGTCTTGCCTTTTGCAGGTTGTGACAGGACCATCTTCCTCAACTCTTCTGAATGCTAACCTGTAAGACAACTTGCCTGTAGTTATAGTTAGGATGAAATGAGGAGATGGAGTTAAAAGCCCTTTGTTTGTAAATTATAATTGTTAGGAGCAGGAAAACCTAACATAAGGAAGAGAGTGGTTGAAATGGGGTGCTTGTGCCTAAAGAAAATCACAAGATGAAGCCTGAGAGTGCGCTGAGAGGATGAAGGGAGAGTGCGCTGAGAGGATGAAGGGAAATTCTGGAACAGGTTGAGGGATGGTGGTTGTCGGGAGCCTGTAACAGGTGAGAGAATAGTTTGCTGTGCAAATGAGTAAGTCAGGTTGCCAGGTCAGGTAGCCCACCTTTTCCTATTTCATGGGATCCTGCACAGCTCACTCTGGGGTCCATGTGTTCACCTTCCCCCTACAGTGTGGGTTGTGGGAATAATGGAGCAGCCTGTGAGCTTCTTAGAGATACGAACTGGGCAAAAGAGAGCTAAAACTACAGCTGCTGGGTGTAGGGAGGCCAGGAAGAGAAGGTGAATGGCAGTCCCCAGGGCGGTGAGCCAGAATCTTGATCCTGGTGGGCTAAGGTGGGGAAGTCTCATCTGGTGTCCTGGGAGACACATTATTCACTCTGGGCGTTTTCATCCTTGAAATTTACTCAACCATGATCTCTCCAGCTCCTATACAGTGGGAGTTCTTAAATTTACTTCTAGATGGTCACCTGGGCCTTGTCCTGTACCTTAGATTCAAAATTGAGAATTCAGGAGTGTTCCCAAAATAAAAAGTAGGGATGATAACAAAGAGCCCAGAGAGAACTACAAGTCGGGGAGCGCATACCACAGAGATGTTGCAGGTTCATTTCCAGACCACCACAATAAAGCCAGTATTGCAATAAAGCAAGTCATAATCTTTTTGCAGGTGGAAGGTCTTGCTTTCCATTTGTAGAACACACAAATACCTGTGAAGCACAATAAAATGAGGTGCGCCTATATCCACTTCATCTGAGATCAACATGCATAAAGTGCCCAGCACAGTCATAACTGCTCAGTAAAAGTCAGCCATCATTATTACTGCTGCTGTTGTTATGATGATGGTGACATCGTGTATCCAGGAATTGGCCTAGGCCCACACAGCTAGTTAAGTGGCAGAGTCTGACTCAAACACAGGCCCAGGCGATGTCAAAGCCCATGTACTCCCCCCCACCCAAATCCCCTCCAATTCTTTCTGCCCATCCACAACACTTGTGAGGCCCAGAAGTGACCCTCTTTTGTGAACATTCTCCATGAGCCATGACAGGAGTTTCTTTCCTTCTGTAGTAGCAGAGACTCGGTTCAGGAGGAAGGGGAAACAGGCCTGAACAGCCACCTTCTCACAGCCTGGATCCCAGAAGAGAGGCAGGCAGGCCTAGTGTTGTGGTTTCTGTGGACAGTCAGTCTAGGGAGGGTGATCTGTCCCTTCTGTGTACTATTTTATCTTAGCCTTGGTTGGCTTCCTCATCCTCCTAAGCACAGCAACACATAGGGATTTTAAGTGCTTCTTTTTTTTTTTTTTTTTTAATCCTCACCCGAGGACATTTTTCCATTTTTTGTACAGATAGAGTGGGAGGGAGAGAGAGGAAGGGGGAGAGAGAGAGAAACATCGACGTGAAGGGACACATCGAGTGGCTGCCACCCACACGACCAACCAGGGCCGGGGACAAACTGCAACCAAAGTACGTGCCCCTAGCGGGAACCGAACCCGGTCTCTCTGGACCGCAGGCTGACGCTCTAACCGCTGAGCCAAACTGGCCAGGGCGGGTGCTTCTTAGTAGTAGTAACAAATCTATCCACTGGGGTCCAGCACTCTGACTGGAACTTGACATTTATAGTCCTGTGGAGAAGTGTTCTTTTCTCTCCCGCCCTTCTTTCAAAATAAAGGTATTTTTAGAATGCTCAAGGCTACAGAAAAGTTTAAAGAATATCTTTTCACCTACATGCACCAGCTCACTTAGCTGATTTTGCTTTTACACATACACACACTAAACTATTTGCTAAACTATTTAAAAGTTAAAGACATCTTGACAGTTGATTCTTCAGCATGTAACTCCTAATTAAAATATTCTCCTACAATAGCCATAATACCATTATCATACCTAAAAAATTGGCAAGTCAATATTATCTAATAAACAGTCAATATTCCAAATTCTCCAACTGCCAAAAAATTCTTATGTTGCTTTTTAAAAATCAGATACTGTCAAGATTCACACGTTGCATTTAGTTATATCTTTTTTTTTTTTTTCTTTAGATTTCTAGGGGTATCCAAGGCATCATCCTGTAACCCAGAGGCCATAGCCCCAGATACAGGATTTGTTACTTGGATTTCTTTCTTTTTTTTTTTATTCTTGTTACAGACGTATCTCCTTTTTTCTCCATTGACACCCTCCTCCCCATCCCCCCAACCCTGTCCCCAGCTTTGTTGTCCACACCCATCAGTTATGCATATATGCATATAAGTTCTGTGGTTTCTCTCTTCCCTCTCCCTCCACCCCCTCTTCTGAGGGTTGTCAGTCTGAACCCTAATTCCACGTCCCTGGGTCTACCCTGTTCCTCAGACTGTTATGTTCATTATATTCCACAAATAAGTGAGATCGTGTGATATTTGTCTTTCTCTGCTTGGCTTGTTTCGCTTAGGATAATACTCTCCAGGTCCCTCCATGTCATCTCAAAGGACTAGAGATCTTTCTTTCTTATAGCTGCATAGTACTCCATTGTGTATATGTACCACAGCTTTTTTATCCATTCATCTACTGATGGACACTTGGGCTGTTTCCAGATCTTAGCTATCGTAAATAGTACTGCTGTGAACATGGGGGTATATATATTCTTTCTGATTGGTGTTTCAGGCTTCTTAGGGTATATTCCTAGAAGTGGGATCATTGGGTCAAATGGAAGTTCAATTTTTAATTTCTGGAGGTAACATCATATTGTTTTCCATAGTGGCTGCACCAGTCTGCATTCCTACCAGCAGTGTACTAGAGTCCCCTTTTCTCCACACCCTCACCAACACTTGTTTGATGATTTGTTGATGGCGGCCATTCTGACAGGTGTAAGGTGATACCTCATTGTTGTTTTAATTTCCATCTCTCTGATGATTAGTGATGTTGAGCATTTCTTCATATGTCTCTTAGCCATTTGTATGTCCTGTTTAGGGAGAGGTCTATTTAGTTCCTCTACCCATTTTTTAATTGGGTTCTTTCTCTTCATTTTGTTGAGTTGTATGAGCACTCTATATGTTTTGGACGTTAACCCCTTATCTGATGTATCATTTGGCAATTATGCTCTCCCATACAGTGGGTTCCCTTTCCACTTTGATGGTTGTTTCGTTTGCTGTGCAGAAGCTTTTGAATTTGATGTAGTCCCATGTGTTCATTTTCTCCTTTGTTTCTGTTGCCTTAGGTGATGTATCAGTGAAAATTCTACTGCGTATGATGTCTGAAATTTTCTTGCCTACATTTTCTTCCAGGATTTTTATGGATTCATGAGTCACATTTAAGTCTTTTATTCATTTTGAGTTTATTCTTGTGTGTGGTGTAAGTTGATGGTCTAGTTTCATTTTTTTGTACGTAGCTTCCCAAAACCATTTATTAAAGAGGTTGTCTTTACTCCACTCTATGCTCTTGCCACCTTTGTCAAATATTAATTGAGCATAATGTCTTGGGTCAATTTCCAGGTTCTCTGTTCTGTTCCACTGGTCCATATGCCTATTATTGTAACAGTACCAGGCTGTTTTGATTACAGTAGCCTTGTAGTATAACCTGATATTTGGCACTGTGATCCCATCTACTTTGTCCTTCTTTTTCAAGATTGCTGTGGCTATTTGGGGTCTTTTTTGGTTCCATATGAACTTTTGAAGTACTTGTTCTAGTTCTGGGAAATGTGTCATTGGTATTTTGATGGGGATTGCATTGAATCTATAGA